TTTTTATAATATTAAAAATATCTGTATGATAGTATATTCTGCAGTTCTTCCTTATGATACTTTTCAAAGTATCATATCGAAGTTAGAAATTGAAATATTGTGACAAAATTAATTTTGTAGGGTGCCGCAAATTTGTTAACATTTCCAAAGGGTGCCGCGACTAAAGAAAGGTTGGGAAACACTGGTCTAAGCCATTTTATTCCTCTTATTCATTTTAATGTGTGTATGTCTTTAAATGTAAATGGATCTGCCTCTCACGTGATCAATCACATGACAGAAATAAGGAACTAGACCAGTATAAAGAAAGCAGCATGTCAAACAATGAGGGTCATTGACCAAACCACTGCACTCGCTGGATTATATCGAGTTATTTCAGGATTTACCATTCCAGAATTTCACACATCTTGGATTATCACTTTCTTTGGACTGTATATACACCGGTGGACACTTTTACCTTGGGACTTCAACACACTAGGATTCTTAAGGACTGTTTTAGGGTACGATTCAAATGGACAATCTGCTTTTAACAGCCTAAATTATTCTAGTTTTATTGTGTTGTTTTAAGTTCCTTGTGCATTATGTAAATGCACTATTTACTCATTCTACTTTTGTTGTTGTCTCATCTTTTTAAAACACTTATTTTACCTCACACAGTTTAATCTGACCCCATTTTAAATCCATGTAATTCGGTCGTTACAACTCTCATGTGATCCAAGATGCTCATGTCTTTCGTTCTTTGGTCGAAAAGAAATGAAGGTTTTTGAGGAAAACGTTCCAGGATTTTTCTCCATATAGTGGACTTAAATGGGAGCCAATGGGTTGAGGGTCCAAATTACACGATCTACACGATCCCAGCCGAGGAATATGGATCTCATCTAATGAAACGTTTGGCCATTTTCAAAAAATCTGTCATTTTCTAGCTCGACCTCATGCATTACGTAATCACGTTGGAAAGGTCATGCATGAACTAGGCGGAAGTACCGACCCAGTGTTTACGTTAAGTGAACGTGCAAAGAAAGTCAAACACCCTTTACAAAAAAAGGTAAACTGATGTCGGATGATTTTGAAGTTGGAGGAGAAAATGAGATGGAGTTTTTCACCCTACCCTACCTTTTAGAACTGCAGTGCACAGACGAAAAACTAACCAGGCGTGACCTTTCCATTCATGCACATCACAGAGCTAGTCCAAGAAGAGCATTTGTGGTTAAAAAGTACATTTTTATTTCTTTTAGAAAATGACCAATCGTTTCGCTAGATGAGATCTTTATTCCTCTGCTGGGAATGTGTAGAGCTGAAGAAGATGCATTGAAACTGCAATTTGGACCTTCAACCCGTTGGCTGCCACTAAGTCCACCATATGGAGAAAAATCCAGGAATGTTTTCCTCAAAAAACTTAATTTCTTTGTGACTGAAGAAAGAAAGACATGAACATCTTGGATGACAAAATTATCAGGAAATTTTTATTCTGGATGTGAACTAATCCTTTAAGACTGAAACGGATTCATCAGAATGGATTTGGGCAGTTAAATCGAAAGTACTGTTCAAAACTCTCTACATGTGACTAAATATTGTGGTAGGTGACCAAATAATGTCCACTGTTAGATTTCACTTGCCAGTGATTGAGTTAGAGGCTAAAAAGTTTAGCACAGATATATTTTCGCTCGCCTACACTACACTCTGACTAAGCACTTGAGAGTTTCACTCTCTGTATTTTCAGTGCACTATTCCTATTGATATCAATAGAAGCGCAGCAGTAATCTGAAGCACTGTAAACTTTGAAAATAAGGTTCTGACAGCAATCTGACCTCCGTGAGGATGTCTGCAGGAACACCTGTGGCCATGAGGATGGTGCAGAGCTGCTGGAGGAGACCACACTGGAACATGGCTTTCTGACAGCTGGTTGTGGCCCCTGGAGAGTTCACTGGAGAAACCATCACTCGTACCAGCTACAGAGAGAAAACACAACTAGAGATTTTAACTCATCTTCACATAACAAAACAATGCTCACTGACTGTTGTTCCTATGCAACCTGGAATTTTTATTTATTTTTTTTTATATGAAAGAATCATTAGCTGGTATAGGTAAATAACTAGAAGAACAACAAAGTGCAGTAAACGGTTTAGCTATTTTGTGTTTAAAAAACATTGCATTTATGATTATGCTAATGAATTAAAATAAAATGATGACAAATAGGCTAACAGGTTGCAATATAAAGCAGCATAACAGACTGCTTTTATACAAGTCAAATAAATGTAAGCAAACGACACCGGATCAATCGTACATTTAAATTACCAATAGCCATGCATGCTCTTATATTAAAATAAGGTGGGTAATATTGCAGGATCATCAATATAATAAAAATAAAAACACTAATAAATAATAAATTTTTTATTATTATTATTATGATAACTAGAACTTTTCAAGTAATCTTCATAAAAACTAAATTCACAGTAAATGTTAATTCCACAATAAATCTTATTGTAACAACATATTAAATGGATTCTTCATATCAGACCTGTAGCATTAGATGGAGGTTGGTGACCTTCTGTGCCGACCAGCCAGAGTTGTCATCCCCCACTTCAAACCACGGCTTCATCTTTTGGATATAGGAGCCTTCTTTAAAAAAATTCTGGTTGGAGCTATTGTTCTTCAGGAGGTTGAGCAACAATAAGAGACAGTCCTCCACCACAATACCTGTGAGGTGAAGATGTAGATTAATTAACAGTCTGTGGCAATTCAGGGTGGAAACTCATTTTCTATTATAAAATTGAAAAGTGTCCGTTAACTGTATACCTCCGTCACTTGAACCCTCCTCTGTGATAATTTCAAGAAGTCTCTCAAATGCATTTTCAAAAGCCACAATTTTCTGTATTGCAGTGTTGCCTTTGGTTAACTGCTGCAGCAGCAGGAGACCCTTAATGGGGAAAAAAGTAAAATGGTTTCATTTAACTTCAAAAAACACTTCCCCTATGAACATTCATGTTAATGTAGAGTAATAACACTTACATCATTACGGATAACTTCTCTGGAGTCAGCAAGTAGATCCATTAACCTGGACACTCCTATCGAGTGTGAAAACACAACAACATTAGAGACCAGATATCTAGAAAAGAATCCATACAGCTTTAAATAATGATAAAGAAGCAAAAGTCATCACAGATATTGATTGACCTGTGAGAGTAAAATGAAAAAAAATGAAAACAGGGGTGTGAGGAACAGAAATACAGTTCACGTAAGACTGGAAATATTTATCCTCCAAATTTCAAGTGGCCAAAGCAATGGGTTGTGAATATCCCAACCGACCCAGTGGGTCTATACATTGTTTTAAAATGTTTTTGAAAAATGTTCACCAAGGCTGCAATCATTTGATCAAAAACAGTAAATCAGTAACATTATGAAATGTTATTAAAATAAAATACTGTTTTCCATTTTAATATATTTTAAAATGTAATTTTTTCCTGTGATGACAAAGCTGAATTTTCAACAGTCATTACTCCAGTCTTCAGTGTCACACAATCCTTCAGAAACCATTTTAATATGTTGATTTGTTGTTTTCAGGATTCTTTGAAGAAGAGAAAGTTTTAAAAGAACAGTTTTCATTGTTATTTTGTAACAATGTATTAGTCTTTACTGTCAATTTTATACATCCTTGCTTAAAGGTGACATATCATGAAAATCTGACTTTTCCAGTTTTTAAGTGCTATAATCAGGTCTCCGGTGCATCTACCAACCAAGGAAACGTGAAAAAGATTAACCCAGTAACTTTGTTTTGTTAAGCCTTTTTCTGCAAGCGTCTGAGAAAACGAGCGCGTCTGATTTCGCTCCCTTGGTGACGTGGCAAAAGGATCTCATTATAATATTACCGCCCCTTAATCTGCAAGTTTCCACCCACGGCGCCGTTATTGTGTTTTCGCAAGCGACAATGGTGTACTAGTTCTAATGCCATGGCGAAAGTTTGAGCAAAACATGCTAACTGTTCAGTGGTTGGCTGCACAGACGAGCACAGAACACTATTTACAGTCCCAGCCTCAGAGGAGACAAGAGAGCAGTGGATTTATTTATTTATTTACTGTATATTGCTGCTGCCACACAGATCTAAAATAAACATGCGATTTATTTCCCAGCTGTTTACCTTCACAGACATAACCGACAGTTTTTTGTAACTCATGTGTTTTTAACGTAAACTTGTGTGTGAATGAGAACTTAGTTTAGTACTCACATACCTGTGACAGCCGCTTTCTGTCCGTGTGCTACGGATGTGTGCACTCAGAAAACCGTATATCAGAAGTTTAAACTAACATGGTTTAAAACGGATGATTTCAGCGCGATAAACATGATAATCAGAACCAAAACAGATGTTTTTAGCAGGTCTGAGCTGTAAAGGTGCAGCTCTATTCTGGAAAATGGGGCGGGGAGCAGCAGCTCATTTGCATTTAAAGAGACAGGCCCGAAAAACTGCGTGTTTCTGCTTCCACTCAAAATAGGCATTTACAAAATGATATAATAAGTGATCGGTGGAGTATTTTGAGCTGAAACTTCACAGACACTTCACAGTCTGTGAAGTGTCTGTGAAGTGTCTTCACAGACACAGAACACAAGTCTGTTCACTCGGCCACCATATTTGCAACGCCTCCGGGCAGCTCAAACAAGACCAAGTCCTATCTAAATGAATGGGGGAATCCTGAAATCTAAAAAACAGCTCACTGAACTCGCGATTAAACTACATATTTCAAATCAGCAACAAAATCTGCAATGAACTGCCCCATGAATGTTGTTTCTTATGCTCAAATAGCTTTTAAAAAGCTTATTTTTCAGGTCCAGCCTCAGGTTTCTATGGGAACCGGAGCTTCTAACGGCTGCTGCAGTGACGCAATGACTTTACCAATCAACGATTGGCTCTTTCATTTAGAAGGCGGGACTATTCCGCCACATTGTGCGTTGCACTTTCTCCCATTCATAAGTATAGGAGTGAACCGTCTTTGTATTTCTATAGTCTTCGATATTAGTTTTTAACCACTAAACCTATAGTCACCTCAAGCCACATATAAACAGCTTTTGTGGCTGCTTAGATTTTTGGGAGTGGCATTTACTCAAGGATTAACTGAACAAAAGGGTGCTGGAGTTGTCACATTGTTCGCTTTAAGTATACATTGGTTGTTACATTGCAAGCAAGCAGTGCAATACCTAGCAAATCCAAAATCATTTCAAATGACCACTAATGCTTTGGTTTTAAAACTTCTTTAGGTATCAGGAGATGTTTTTTTTTAAATGGTTAGTTCACCCAATAATTTAAGTCAGCGGAGACCAGCGTATTCAGAAATAAAGTCAGTGAGAGTGAGTAAATTAAGATAAAATTATTATTTTTTGGGTGAATTATCTCTTTAAGTACTAATTTTCAGGGTGCCAACGTGAACATGTGAACAGCACCTGCACCATTGGCTTCTGAATCCTGACTTGCCGCTGCATTAATGCACCCTATGTGGTGCCCTGCTTTTTGTTTTGTTTCTTGTGTTTTCTATTTACAGCCAAGTCCAGTTAGATTTTTTTAATGAGAATATGTGGGCTATCATTCTTAATTGTGGTAGTCTATTGGATTACATTGGTTTGTCTGTCATAAACAGCATAGTCAGCAGCACTTCATTTTGTAGATATCTCAGCTGGTTTATATTCACAGTTATAAAGCACATTAAGTTGGCTAAATAAATGTGTAAAATAATATATATATATATATATATATATATACACACTCCAATTCAAACATATATTTTTTACAAAATATTAATATTTTTTTATGCTCATCAAGGCTGTATTTATTTAAACAAAATTACAATAAAAACAGTAAAACTGTGAAATATTATTACAGTTTAAAAGAACTGTTTTCTATTAGAAATCTTTTTTAATATCCTGATTTAGTGCTCAATAAACATTTCTTACTATTATCCATGTTGGGCTTCACAATGTATTTGTGAAAACAATGGTTGTTCTTTTTTTTTTTTTTTTTTACCAGGATTCTATGATGAATAGATTTTATTTGAAGCAGAAATTTTGTATTATTATAAATGTGTTTAATGACAAAAAAATAAAAATAAAAAATACTGACAAACGTTGGAACGGTAATGTATTTTATATACACTGTATATGAAATGTGATAAAAAAATTCACTGCACATAAGTCATTTATTATTTGAAAATTTCTTTCAAAAAGAAATTGTGTTCTATCACAAGAACTTTGCATGTAATTCTCAGTGTTTTCAAACAAAAGCAGACCACTGGTACCAGCAAATAGTTCTAAACAATCAGACACATTCATTTTGCAATGATGCTTTCCTAATTACAAGAGAAAAGGACATTTTTGGACTAACCCATTGGGCTGACCAGGATGATGCCTTGGACCGGAGCACACTGGCTTTTCAAAAGTGCAGTTAGGAGCTTAACACCTGGCCAGCGGACATGGAAGTCAAACTCCTTCCGCAGGCAAAACAGTCAAACAACATCAGGAATATGTTAGGGTAATATGGAAAGCAACAAGACAACAAAAGTATAGTTAGCAGATGAAATATCAGTTCTAGCTTACCTCCAACAGTGTGAGGAGAAGTGTGATATTATCTGGTTCCTGGATGAACTTGTCAGTGAACTGAACTCCCAAATCCTCCTCCTGCTTTTGCTGATTCTCCTCTGAAAGAGAAAATGAGATGCAGAGAAACTTATTCTTTGGCATGTTTACTTTTCTTTGATTACTTTAACACAAAAAAATGCAGGGAGGAAAAAAAAAAAAAAAAAAAAGAGGAAGCAGATATGAAAACATACTAGGGAAAAGGAGATACAGTGTGCTGCTAAATATGATCAAACAAAATTGTTTTCAGTACATATGTTATCATCAAGACTTCAGATGGAAGAGCAGTGGAACATGTCTGCTGACAAGAAGTGTATTAATACAAAGAGAGATAGAAAAAAGCACATCAACCCACAGGTTAGTAAACTGGAAAAAATAAATAAACAAAACCACACACCAGTTAAAGCTTAACCTCTTCCACACAGAGAAAAATGTATAACACTAAATGCTATTGACATTAGGACAAAGCAAGGACAAGGACATAGCTTGGGAAGTGCAGTTTTCTTTCCTGTTTCCAATAGAAATTTGATTTTGGGGTCTTTATTAAAAGTAAACAACATAAAAAAATTGCTAAATATACGGTTCCCTATATTTAGATGAAACCAGACTAAATCCAATTATTATTAAATGATTGCTAATTATTGTTAAATTATAATTGTTTATTAGTGGACAATGTTATTTATTTTATTCTTACAATTTAATTATCATTAAATTGGAAGTCCACTAACAACTAAACCATGTAATCAGTGCAGTAGCTCAATCTTTGATTGAACATAAGGCACAAATGTCTGCTACCAAATCTTAAGTAGCTAAATGAATATATTGATCAAAAGAAATTGTAGGTTTTGGATCATTTTCTAATCTCCCAACCAGCAGCAGAAACTACTATTAAAAATACAAAATCTGCATATGACCCGTTTAAAAACATCTGGAAGTGTTGTAAATTAGATTTGAGTTTCCATTCATTTTAGACATATTTTCATTTAGGCATCTAAACGACATTTTAGCACTTGGGAATGTTTTCAATTGAACAGAACGTCTGTTAGAACCAGAAACCATTACACTGTTATATGTAAAATGCCTAAATGTTGCTGTTTTATGGAATTGGGAAACTGTGAAATTCCCCGAGTATCAAATGCATAGTGGAGGTATTCTACAGGGATTTCAAAGCATGGATGGGCTAGTGGTTAGACAGCATCATGCACAAAAAAGTGCTTTACCTTCAGAATCATCTGGTGGATTAAACATGGAAAGAAAAAGGAGGACGATCAGATATACAATATTTCCCTGCTCATCAAACATAAACTGCAAGAGCGAGACTAGTAACAGACTGAAACAAAGTTTATGGACTGTAAGAACAATTTAAAGGAAAACAATTCATTTGGAATCAGAGAATAAGACTTGTATTAGCCCAAGATGCTTTATGGACATTGAAACAAATCAATTAAAATCCCAACATGACAATATCTGAACCAGACAAAATAAAGAATATAACATACCTGGTTCCTCCTCTTCGTCACTGCAAACAATGTTGTACAAAGTGTCCAAAGCGTAACCTAGGATTTCAGTGTCTGCCCTGTTTCAAATAATCACCAAAGACAAGTCATACTATGAGGCAAATGTCTTTACAATGAATGTTTTATTTTTGACCAAAGTTTGAAACATACCGGTCAGTCTGCAGTATACGAACCAAATGGTCCATAGCCATTGTGCCAACCTCCATACGGTATTTCTGTAATCAATAAATCTACTTGACACATGTTCTTATGTACATATTTCTGTCAATACAGAAATTTGTTTTCTGAGACAAAAGTGCTTTAGGAGGTGCAGGAGGAAGCATTTTACGGCAAAATAAATAAATAAATAAAAATCTCACATCGCCTTTAAGGCATGTTTGTGAAATATAAATCATTCTGTGAGATTTACGCAGCATGTACTGTAGTCCTTCCTTCTACTTTGTTATTCCATTTACTGTAATATCACCAATGCATTATGAGCAGTGCCCAATGTATATAGACTAGGTCCCGACCAGTGTTGGGTAAGTTACTCTAAAAAAGTAATTAGTTACTAGTTACTAATTACATCTTCAACAGTGTAATTAGATTACTGTACAAATTACTCTCTCCAAAAAGTATTTAATTACTTATTACTTTCTAAATCCTATATCAACCTGAACAAGTTAATGATACAAGGACATGAAACGGTTCTTTTAATTCTTTCAATTAAATAATAGATTACATAAATTATTCACTATAGATTAGGGTCCAATTCTCACTATTAACTAACTATTAACAGATTTTTTTGCCTCAATATATACTCCTAATTACTGCTTATTAATACTTAGTAAAGTAGTTGTTAAGTTTAAGAATGGGCTAGGATTACGGATATAGAATAAGGTCTTACAGAATAAGACATTAATGTTTGCTTTTTAAATAATAATAAACAGCCAATATCATAGTAATATTCATGCTAATAACCATAACCAACTAGTTAATAGTGAGAATTGGACACTAAAGTGTTACCAATATTCTTATTAACTCAAAAGGTACATAAAAGCATGCATTTTAAGGTTAGACTTTAAATTTTGATGTTAAATCCACTATTGTATTGTATATAAATGTTCTACCGCTTATAAACAGTATTAAGTTCAATTACATAAGAAATATCTGTAATTAAATTACAGAAAAAACAAGAGTAACCCCTTACTTTACTTTTTCTACAACCAACACTGGTCCCAACCTCTAATTGATTAAATACATAATTAAATTAAAACATTATTACAATTTAAAATGGCCATTTTCCATTTCAGTTTATCTTAAAATGCAATGAATTCCTGTGATGACAAAGCTGAATTTTTCAGAAGCCATTACCCCAGTCTTGTGTCACATGATCCTTCAGATTTCATTTTAGTATGCTGATTTGCTGCTCAATAAACATTTCTTCTAATTATCAATGTTGAAAACAGATGTGCTGCCTAATATTTTTGTTGAAACCATGATACATTTTATCAGGGGTCTTTGATGAATACAAAGTTCAAAATGACAGCATTTATTGGACAATCCTTAATGCAACCTTGCTGTTTGAAAGTATTTAATTTACTACCTTACTAAAACTTTTACACAAACTTTTAAATGGCAGTGTATAAGTACAACACCCATATTACCTTAATTACTAACATCAACATGAAAAGCATTAATTGCTGGTCACCTTGGAAAGAGATTTGAGGGCACGGACAGCATCTCTTCGGTCCTCCAACAGGGTGGATGAAGCCACTCGGTCACACAATTTTTGGATCTGACAATGAACAGACAGAAACAATCTTTTTTGTCAACAAGTTTGTGAATACCTTGTCATTGCATGGGATAAAGTGAAGTCAAATTATACATACATAAAAAAAAAACTACCACACACAACTATTAACACACCAAACAGCAAACATACAGTCTAACTGAACATATGTCATTCAAACTTACTTTACATCAAGGTAGCATAGACATAAACACTGCCTGATTTGGAAGTGTCATTTTGAAATCCTGATTCATAAGCTTTCGTATTTACACACACAACTGCTGATCTGTTTAGCCTTATGTAATGTTTGTCATTGACTCGATAAGCAGGTGCTTTCAGTTGTTTATAAACTGCACTAATTTTTATTTGTTCACACGTTTATTTGTTTATGCTGTAAATAAACTCACAGTTTCTGCTCCAGTCGGCTGTTGGCCTGTAGGATGCCTTCCCACTACTTCCCAGATGTAATTCATCCTGCTATGTGTCCGCTTTAGCTAGTATTTTAAACGTCGATGTTGAGACAGATTCAACGTCTGTTAAAGAAAGGAGAATTTCCAGGACAGGCAGACAGTAAATGTCAGTAAAAATAGCAGCTGCCTGATGTTGATCTCTCAACACAACAGCACCCAGCCCGGAAGTGACTCGGACGCACATGCGCAGAGACGTGGCGATACGTGGCTGAACACAGCGTCAATGACGGCCTTTTAAAGAGACAGTTACACATAAACACCATGGTGGGCAACTAAATTCTATACATTTATTAATTGACCAGCATATTTTCATGTGTAGTAGCTTAAAAAATATATATAATTTAAATTACAAGAGGGCGCATCGAGCATAAGATAACATGACTATCTGTGAAAAAAAGTGCATAATGTTTAAAATAATGTTTATAAACCAATTATAATTAAGTTGCTTAAACAACTATAAACAAAACAGCATCATGTATGTATGCATAGTTTAATACAAAGGGCCGAGAACCAATCACACGGAGTACATTTTTCATTTAAAAACACGAGTTGCAGTCAGATGGGGAAAAAACCCGCCATAAAGTCTCGAGATATGTTTTTTTCAAAGTTGAACTTGCATTAATTTTACATGGCTTTCTAAAAATGCGGCTCTCATGTGCGAGACGCGAGTGCAACGCAACGGTGATTGATGTCCCTCTAGAAAGTTCTGTGTGTGAACGGCTTGGTTTCAGTTTCGACGTAAACAAGATCTTCTCCGCATTGATGTTCTCTTTTCCAGCAATATTTGTAATCAACAACGATTTATTGAGATGCACCTGTATTTGTAATTAACAACGCAGCAGCACCGCATCTAGTAGCTTCAACTGGATAGGCTAGCAACAACATTAAAATGCAATGACACATCGTCATTGCATCTCCTGCGCCACTGAAGGCTGCCTCCAACGCACACCTAAAATTCGAATGCAACGTTTTTGCATTCGAATGTGGATTTTTATTTTAAATTCGACGAATATTCGAATTTCGATTTTTTTTTTGACAGCCCTAGCTTGTAGACCTTGTGGCTCTGTGGTGTGATACTTAAAAGTTAATATAATATGATCAAGAAGATAAGATGATTTCATTTAAGAATTTCATGTATTGTAGCTCCCTGTAGTTTATTGTCTCTTTGTTTGTAAATTGATTCAATGCAACAAAAAAATAAAATAAAATAAAATAGCCATGCTGAATGTTTTTTATAAATTAAACAAAATGCAAGTGTTACACTTCTGATCTTGTCTTTTGATTTAAAGCCACAACACTTGCACTGAACAGCACAGATTTCAGTTTATTGTATGTCAAGTCTAACACATTGAAACGGAATGAAAATGAAATAAAAATAACAATAATAATAAAAACAGTAATAAATAAACACCCAGCTGCAACATGTTCTACTCACACAAAAATGCAGTCTAAGTAAAATAACATGGCAACCACCTGCTAATACAAGAACATGTTCTTGTTCCACCAAAATGAACTACATCTATAAACAGGGCATTTGTAAACCTCATAATAACTGCATGAAAACCAATGTTTTGCATTAGGATTAGAGGGTTAAAAGAATCTGATTAAATGATATGAGCGAATAAAACAAATTAAAGGCTGATGCATATTTTGGGTTGAAAAGCACAGTTATTTGACCAAGCCCTAGGTGTATTGTCTTCTTGTTTCTCTCATGTAATCCAAACGTTCAAAGTATTTGGCTGACTGAAGTACTTTATATCTAAAAAGAAAGGCCATTGTGGCATTTATTTACACAGTAATTAAAATGTTCCAGGTCCCAAACTCAGAACACGTAAGAACTAGGTAGAGTTGATGGGGAAAGAAGTCTCTAAGCAGGACTGTAGGCATATTTTCTTCCAAAAGTAAATGTATCTGCAACCAAAATGTCTTTTTACAAAGAACAAGCCGTCCCAAAAAATGAACAAATAAAAAAAGAAATGCAATGTCCCTGATGAAGATTCTAGAAATACTGCAATTAGTGCAATCTACCTGACATGGAAGACATTAAACATCAAAAATAGCGCTACATCAAACTGTACTTACAAAATCAGTGCAAATTGTAGACCGAGTACCACTGCACAATGAAAACAGTGTCTACCCCACTGTACTTATGCTTCCTTCCATTCGTAAAGAACAGCATTAACACGTTCCTCATCATGAAAATGGAAAAAGGGTGTGGATATCAATTAAACAGATATACATGAAAAATAATAATAATAAAAAAATAAATAAACAGCAGAAAATTCTGCTTCCCCCAGTAAGGCAAAAATTCTAAAAAGACCAACAGTTCTTGGGGGGGGGAGGGCGCTTAATGAAGCCTTGTGTGTCTGGGGGAAAATTGACGAACACTTTTTCTAATCAGTGCTATTTAAAAAAATTAAAAAAAATTCATTTTTTAAAAATGTAGAATGCAAAACTAGTCCATTTGGGAAAGTCAAAAATGCACCAGCAAAGTTTCTCTGTACCCTGTATAAATACTGTTATGCTTTAATTTAAAAAGAACAAGAACAACTGTTTGGATGTAAAATGAAACTCACATCACAAAATGAGATTAGGATTATAAAAACTAAAAAAGAAAAATTTAATAAAATGACTCTGCCTTAGAAAAAAAACATTCGTCATAAATCCAAAATGCCTTTACACAAAAATCATGGTAGCTTTCCACTTTACAAATGCTTCCATTAATGCTCCATTCACTTATTCAGGCAGACCCAGAACATAAGAAAAATGTTGTCAAATCTGTACATTAAAAATAAAAACAAAAATAGTACATAAACAGAACTGGAGAGGACATGTCTTGTCTCCACTCTCAATGTCTTGTACTTTACCTTTCCTTCCCGTACAAGTCATTACCATTAAATGAAATATTGTTAGCTCACAGTTATGACTACAGGTAGCCTTTAGCTTATTAATGAGCTGATTAGTGGAATTACCTAAATAATATGTATTAAAAGGCTAGCCTGAAAGAAAAAAAAACAAACAAAAAATATATAAAAAAAAAAAAAGCCACCTTTCAGTCTGCACATTTTACACCAACAGCAACTGGAAGGTAATCTAATACGAAATGTCAAAGAAACATCACAGAGCAGAAATTAGACTTCTATCAGCACTAAATATACCTAACTGATTTGTTTCCCTACAAAGTTTGTAATTGTTACCACTTGATAAATGACAAACCAGAGGACTTGCAGCACAATTCCAATTTAAAGTGAACAGTGTGTTTTGAGTCAAGTTGTTGATCTGTTTCACAAGAAACAGCTGACATTCCAAAGGCAAAAATGCAAGTGTACACAAGGAGTAAAACTCAGTAAAACACACACGCAGGAAAAAAAACCAAAAAAACTGATGTATGTTTTTACATAGACTTCTCAATATCATCATACGTGAACATTTTACTACTTCCAAACTACAAGGGGAGCTCCTCTCAACGCCTCTGAGCAGTAAAACGACCCTCACTAGAACCTGCGCCCCTCCCAGAGGCCATGCCTGGTTTAGGTACGGTGGAAACACGTGAAGGTGGGCCTCTGCCGTCACGGTCTCGCATCATGCTGCTTCCGGGAATGCCACGCGGCCCGCCTGGACCACGGTCACTACGCCTTGCGTCCCGCCGGTCTTCTCCACCTCCACTACGAGTTTCCCGCTCACGCATCGCCCTCGTCTTTTTCTCCTCCACGTTCAGACGTACCTCACCACGGAACATGATCGGCTAATCACAAATGAAACAGCGATGGGTCAAAAAATATTCTCTCAATACCATATCTTGAAGAAATACATGAAGAAAGGTATAACAGGTATTACAAATAAAAGCAAGGATGCACGTTATATATCAGTACCATTTAGCAATGCCGAAGTTAGTTTTTCCCATTTATCATGGTAATTATGTTTTTTATTGAATTTTTTTGAATATTTACTGTTAATATAAATATGATAATATGGTAATAAAATGTTTTTTGTTTTTTTATAGTTGTAGTTTTAGTTAACAATAGTAACCATGAAACTGACTATAGTTATTAATATTTCATTGGTTCTCCTTTTTGATTACAACAGCCATTCTTCTGGGCATTGCTCAACTGACAATAGGCAGATCCTCCGTACTCGTCTTGCAGTGAGAGATAGAATTGCATGCCTCATCAAAGACTTTATATTTTGCACAGTACCCATCTCACAGTGCTTTGTAATAATTCTACAGTTATCAATGTGTTTTTTTTTTTTTGGTCATTTATTTAGAGAAAACAATAGAATTTAAATACTGGCCATTTCTAGGTTATTAGCCCAAACATGAAAATAATTCTTAATTTATTGTGTCGGCCAGAATTGTAAAATAATTATAAAATAGTGCATTCCTAAAAATTGTTTTAAAACCACATGCATCAAAATCAAAATAGCTTTCCTTACTTTAACTCCTAAAATTCTTTGCACCGGCTCAGAATCATCAAAGACAACAAAGCCAAAGTTGGGGATCTTTCCTCCAGTGCCTTTGGTGTTGATTCGCAGCTCAACAACATTTCCAAATGCTTGATGGGAGAGACAAGAAGCAAATATGAAGATGATTGATTACCAGATATGAGAATGGATTAATGCAATGGTCACCACAGCCTTTAAAAAAAACAAACAAAAAAAAAAACACTTACTCATGAAGAAGTCTTTGAGTTCACTCTCATCAATGTCATGAGGGAGATTTCCAACAAACAGCTGATGACTGTCTGGATACCTGACAACCCTTCTGCTGTCCATTTCACTTGTCTCATCTCCCCTTCCTAAGCAACACACAAGATTTCATCCGCTATGACTATACAGGGACCAACAACATTAACCTTTCTATATCCATTAACAGCATTATTGCCCAAACAAAAGCTATATCCAATTAACAATGGAAAGACATATTTACCTTTATTCACAAAGCTGAAATGTGGCTTTCCAGTTTGAGAGTCAGAAGATGAGACACCATCTAATGATACAAGAAAAAAGATCCGAAGAAAAAGTTCAAAAGTTGTTTTGAAAAAGTTCTGAAACACATTAATAACAAATGAAAGTTATCTGTAATAAAATAATTTGTACAGAAAGTGTGAAAGTATTTCGAAAGTTGTAAGTATTCTAGATTCATACCAGATCTAGGCCCTCTGGAGGTTACTGAAGGTCTGTCGCGGATACGCTGGTCACGTGGAC